TTTTAAGAAATTGCTAAACATTTTCGTCTAGTACTGTACAGTTCTAGCCGATCTCCTAAGACCGCCCATCGAGAGCTCTGCTCGTTCAAGCTTGTTCCAACTATTTCTGTCTTGCTCACGCCTAGTGTGTATTCTTTCTATCTTCGCGCAGATTTATTCAAGGTCACAATTCTAACAAATTGAAATAGTCCGTACCACTGTTTGAAAAAAAGGATCTACGAGGATGTCGCTATGTCTGGATAGCACATGGTTGAAATATAGAGACAAACTAATCTTGTTTCGATATTTTTTACTTCTTTTAATTATCTTGCACAAAAGGTCAACTTATGCGTTGGAAGAAGGGCAAGTTTTCGAGTTTTCATAATTCTCGCAACTATCGACATTATTTTCTTTAAAAGTCATGACAAATTCGCTTGTATGACAGAAAATCTCAGTATTAAAGACAATTGTTATGTCAGTAAATAGAATAATATATGTTCTAATAATAATTTGTGTTTAGAGGAATTATTAAAAAAAACGTAAGTATCAGATTGATATTGATGGGTCTTTTGCCATGGTCGGATTCTAATTGCAGACGTTTCGCCATCATACAGCCGCCGATCATACACCTAAGATGCCATCTATTAAGCATGGCGAAACGTCTGCAATTAGAATTCGACCACGGCAGAAAAGCCAACAATCTCTTCATCATCAACTATATCAGCGAAGGAGTCAGGTAATCGAATTCAGAGATTACATAAATGTGTAATACGTTTTAGAGAAGGGTCGACGAAAAGAATTTAAAAAGAATTAAATGTCCAATGTTTTGACGCACACAGTGCTATCTATGTAATTACATTAAATGTGTATACCTGTTCTATGAAAATAATTACCTAGTGTAATAAAGGTCATAAAAAACAGTCTTCTGTGTACTTAAAATAGAACGATATGAAAATGTATTTTTAATTAAAAGTGGAAGAGACAGTAATTAGTGCATTACGCTACGTGCGAGTACATTTCGATAAGGTAAAAAGAATTACAGTTATTTATTGTTTGTATTGTTCTTTCATTCTGTTATTAACAATTATTAATATTTATTTCTATACTAGATTAAAACAAAAGTTTTTGCACATCTTATTAAATGTCTCTTTAATAAATAAATTAAAGTTTTGATCGTTATGTATTTTATTTTTAATAAACTTTTAATTCTTCTTCTTTTGACTGAAAATTCGCTATAAAAAGACATCGTTGGAAGGAATTTTCGTTACTTTTTAAAGCAAAAACATGTTGTAGAAGTGGGATGCTTGAATGTAATGATTTTGAAATCACATTCACGACCGCTTAGATCGAACTTACAGAGAAATATGTATTAGTTCGTTAAAACCGATGAGACCTGCTAATTTCCCGTTAAGAGATGCCTGCTAAAGCCGATCATCCTAATTCTGACTGTAGTATTAAAAATGCCAATGTGAGTTTCTTTGTTTGTTTGTTCATTACCATTTCATGGTTTAACTACTTAACCGATCATCATGAAATTTTGTACATACATTGCCAAGGGTACAGTACAGGACATAGGGTACCTTTTATCCAGAAAAATTAATACAGTTCCTGAGGGATAAAAGAATTAGTTTTATGTGGTCGTCAATGATCTTCAACACGTATTTACGATATCTACGCTAGCGAAGTTGGGGGTAAAACCTAATATAGTAGAATCCGCTTATAATGACATCGAAGGGAAATGACAAACACGTCATATTAAGCGGGTGTCATACAAAGTCTAGTCTTGGAAAATAAACAACTTTCTATTTTGGTTAGTTATTTAGTTTAATCGAGAGAATAACTACAAATCGTATATATTTATTAACAGAAAAAGAAAAAGAACGATGAATTGTAATATCAATATACATAAGAAACGTCAGAAAAATGTGCGAAAATGTTATTATTAATCATTTGGGTCACTATAGCCGGATATGATTTCCTGAGAATCAGTTATAATAAACGATATGTCATTTTAAACGGAGTCATTATATCCAAACTTTCCTATAGAGAATTAATATGAAAACCAAACTTAACACTGCAATTACTTCATATTAAGCGTTTGGTCAATATAGGCGGAGTCATAATAAACGAATTCCACTATAGTTCAATTCAATAAATGTGTTCTTCATATTCAAGTATATTAATAAAAATTTTATATGGAATATGACATTGTTCTTTAATTTTTATTTGAAACCGAGTTTCCATTATAACCCATGTTCGTTCGTAATTTTAATTCTTCGCAAAACAGCAAAAAGCCTTCAAGTAAACATACGTAACAACAATAAGTAAGTCAACAGGCGGTAGCTTCCTGTTAGTTAAAAAATTTAATGATTCTACTGGACACCTATCGAGGAGTAATTGTTCTTTTTCTTATACCTTGCCCGTACACGAACTCATGACATTGGAGGACTTCATATATATGAACACGTTTTGCGGCCAAAGACGCAGTCGGTTGCCCGCTAAAACATCTGACAGCCCTCGGGTCAATTTTAAGCAGCAACTTCGATTCAAATCGCAACTTAACAATTTTTTTTTGTGTTATTATAGTTAACGCAAAGACGCGCAACGCCGGAAGTTTACAGAAACAAAATCGACGATATTTTTTTTTTAAATACCAGTATTAAGGCACAATCAAACAAATGAAAAACGAAAATTAGTTTATTTCTGTTTTTTTTTTGTAAACGTGAGTGTATAGTGCGTTATTATTTTTTTTTATAAATTCGTAAAAATGGCCACTTTACCATTTATGAAAATGTTGCTGACCACTGTTAATATTCTTGCCAACGGGACCATGAAAATCACGACCCCGGATATGACTGAAGAATTGAATAGTGCCATGCGAAGTTCTGATGAATTGCAAAAGAACTTTTCAAACCATTTTGCCAAAATGCCAAATGAAACAACCGGAAATGTGGTTACAACTATACCGGAATCTCTGTGCACGGCTTACAAGTTGGCTTACGGTAAGTGATGACATTTTATTGATAAAAAGTTTCATCGAAATCAATTCAGTCGCTTCAACAATTATGTGGACGGGCAGACATATAGACAGATACGCAAATTGACAGACAAAGCGACAGGCAGACGGACCGACAGGCAGATAAAACCAAGAGCAAATAGGCAAAACTAAACGAAAAATCATTACTTCTGGTGTACTTATGAGTTAAATTATTATCTGAAGCAACTTTAATATTTTCTTTTATTGGAAAAAAACATTTTTAGTATTTGAAATTTTCAATTTGTTTTACTAGATTTTAACAGTAAATTTTAAAAAAAGGTACATTGTCACTGAAAAAAGCGATTCACAAAAATGTCCTTGAATAAAACATGGTTGAAATATAGACAAACTTTTTTTTTACATAACACAACTATCGACACCATTTTCATTAATAGTCATGATAAGCTCGCATGTATGACAGAAAATTTCAGCAATTACTTAAGACCATATGTGTGTCTGTAAATAGAAAAATTTGTGCTTAGAAGAATGATTAAAAAAAAAGTAAGTATCAGATTANAAACTGCCTCGTTAAAATTTAAGAATATGCTTTATTTAAAAGCATATTTAGCCAAAAATAATAACAAGTGAATTAACTTAACGTTCTACACACCTATAAAACTTTTGCTTTGTTTTCTATTGTTAATTTATATACATTTTTGTTTTAAAAAATTGCTAAACATTTTCGTCTAGTACTGTACAGCTCTAGCCGATCTCCTAAGACCGTCCATCGAGAGCTCTACTTGTTCAAGCTTGTTCCAAATATTTCTGTCTTGCTCACGCCTAGTGTGTATTCTTTCTATCTTCGCGCAGATTTATTCAAGGTCACAATTCTAACAAATTGAAATAGTCCGTACCACTGTTTGAAAAAAAGGATCTACGAGGATGTCGCTATGTCTGGATAGCACATGGTTGAAATATAGAGACAAACTAATCTTGTTTCGATATTTTTTACTTCTTTTAATTATCTTGCACAAAAGGTCAACTTATGCGTTGGAAGAAGGGCAAGTTTTCGAGTTTTCATAATTCTCGCAACTATCGACATTATTTTCTTTAAAAGTCATGACAAATTCGCTTGTATGACAGAAAATCTCAGTATTAAATACAATTGTTATGTCAGTAAATAGAATAATATATGTTCTAATAATAATTTGTGTTTAGAGGAATTATTAAAAAAAACGTAAGTATCAGATTGATATTGATGGGTCTTTTGCCATGGTCGGATTCTAATTGCAGACGTTTCGCCATCATACAGCCGCCGATCATACACCTAAGATGCCATCTATTAAGCATGGCGAAACGTCTGCAATTAGAATTCGACCACGGCAGATAAGCCCACAATCTCTTCATAATCAACTATATCAGCAAGTTCAAGACTAATACTAAGACTAGAAGGATTTGAGCAAGACCAGAACCAAAACCGAATAAGTAAGACCAAAACCAAGACTGGGACAAAAACAAATAGGCTTTATGCACTTTAGGAGTTTTTTACAACAATACTTTTTGTAGGAAATTAAAATACCTTGTTGAAAAATTCTTTTGCTATTTTTAGTATCAAAAATATTTACAATAAAAGGTGAAACTTTGACGAAAATCACGTCTATTTTTAAGTAATTCGTTCATAACTTCTTTTTGAGGCGTTTTAGGTATACATAAAGTATAATAGAAAAGGAGGTTTATGAAAAATCGCAAATTTTGCCCGTATCTTGAGCTCTGTACAACCAGCGGTTGACTCATATTACCATATTGAACCATATTTACTCTTCAATACTTATTTTCGATATTAGGTATCCAGTTTTTATTAAATATTATTTTTTTGTTATTTAGTAAGATTTAATAGTTTTGTTTCTATACACTATAACTCGCCAATAAACAAACAGTTTACTTTAAATTACTTTTAATATTTCTGACGTATCAAATTTTTGATGTGATGGTTACTGACGATATATAGTAATTGTACAAATTGTAGTAAGTACGTAATTACATGTAGATAAACTATTTTTTGATGTTTATTTTACTGGAGAAAGGCGTTACAAAATACCTTCCTTCTTATAATACATATACGTTTATGAATTTAGCAATCAAATTGTAGTTAATTTTAAAAAACTTTCTTGACCATTATACTGGTATCATAGTTTTCAAATAATTTCAAGTTGTTTCGGAAGTTATCAATGCTTCTAAGTGCCGTTATTACAGATTATTTATTATTATTTTAAAATGCAGCTGCAAGTGTTGTTAAATAGAATAGTTGAATTGCGTACAATTAAGGCATTTAAATTCTTCAAGATCGTTAGGTGATTACAAGGTAAAGCATCGCCGATAATTATTCATTAATAATTAACCTTTATTCGAAAAAGTTAGACCAATCACGACGCGTATGTAATCGAATATAAAAAATATTTTATACAATAAACAACGTAAAATAACTTGTGTGAATATATCAAATGTTACTACAGATATTTTGGTAGTATACGTATGCTCTTATTAATAAAGAAAAATATTTTCAAGAAATTCACGCTGAATCTATGAGTAGAGATTATTATTTCGGATATGGAGGAAGTTAATCAATTTCTAGAGAATGAAATTGATTTTGATGAACAAATAAATTTATTGAATCGCATATTTGAATTTTGAAATTATAAAGTACGTATGTGGGGCAAACCGCTGGAACGCTTAAAATAAGAACAAATGAGCGTAAAGAAGTAAATTAAAAGACCATTCTAATTATTTCATGTGGATGAATCACAATTTTACAGTAGAAGCAATAAAACTACATAGGTAACAGATATTCTAATCCAAAAAAATTACTTTAGCTAATAATCAACAGTTTTCACTACCACCAACTTGTTTGTTGATATGGGCGATTACTCTCTTAGTAAAAATGAAAAAAATGTGAATTATTCAGCTTTTCTCAATTACTTATTGTTTGATTACGTCCCAAAGAAAATACTTATTGGTTGTGACGTAATTGGAACAATTTCATGAAAAGTACTAAACATTTGTTATTTGGTGGATTCAGTTCGAAGAGGAAATAAATTGGGTGTAATGACGCAACTTAATTATTATAATATCTATTGGCCATATAAAGTAGGTATTTGAGTATCAAATCACGCAATTTTGTTGATCTTTTCCTGAAGACGTTGCATAAATTACGTACTTATTATAATAAAATACGACGACCTTGTGATTAAATGAACAAAACAAAACAAATGTATAGGAAGAAGTAGTGTATAACACTCATGCACATCTTATTAAAATAATAGTGTTACATATATACATATATACGATAACTTACAACAACGGACGAATGTAAATTGCAATCGGTGATCTAAAAATCTCAGTATCGCGTACAGTTAATCATAGTACTCTCGGAAAATCCCAACATAGAAAGCAATTACAGTCTATTTCAATTTGTTAGAATTGTAACCTTGAAGAAATCTGCGCGAAGATAGAAAGAATACACACTAGGCGTGAGCAAGGCAGATATAATTGGAACAAGCTTGAACGAGCAGGGCTCTCGATGGGCGGTCTTAGGAGATCGGCTAGAACTGTACAGTACTAGACGAAAATGTTTAGCAATTTCTTAAAACAAAAATGTATATAAATTAACAATAGAAAACAAAGCAAAAGTTTTATAGGTGTGTAGAACGTTAAGTTAATTCACTTGTTATTATTTTTGGCTAAATATGCTTTTAAATAAAGCATATTCTTAAATTTTAACGAGGCAGTTTAAATAATTTTGCAAATGGTACTGTACACTTTTGTCTAGTCCTAGCTCGATGATCGGTGGAGAAATGAGCTTCGCAGACAAATATGATTGAATTTGGAATTATGCTACGGCGTATCCTAATAAAGGGAAGGGGCATATCTCTAACTTGAAACGAATAGTATGCATTTTACGAATCGCTGCAGTTTACAAATGCCGATAACAACAAAGTGGAGATCGTAGTCGGCTTCTCTGCCACCTCATTTTATTGTGTTACCGCCTGGCTGTTTAATATTCATATGAAGTTACTCGCAATATAAAGAAATTGTATGACGAACTTACCTATTCTTCCGTTTACGTATATTTCTAGAGATTTGAATTTTAAATTTTTAAAAGTTTTTTGACCCGAAATGTTCTTTGTTTATTATTTTTTTAACAGTCGGTAACATAAGCTTTCACGGTCATGTCCAGTGTTAAAAAAAAATATTTCCGGTTTGATAGCCGTGTCGCAGTGGCATTTAGACTGAGATTGGATAATAACTGAATAATCCTTTAGTATCCTTGTCACAGTTTCCGATGAAAGGGGACAACTTCTGGAGACTGATTCCAAGATTACAGGAATCTTGATAAGATAACTGAAATAAATAGAACGTTAAGGGACTCAATAATCCTTTAGGATCCTTGCCACAGTTTTCGGATAAACGTTAGAAGACAACTTTAACCAAAGGACAACTTCTGGAGACTGAGTCCAAGATTACAGGAATCTTGATAAGATAACTCAAATAAATAGAACATTAAGTGACTCAATAATCCTTCAGGGTCCTTGCCACAGGTTTTGGAAGAACATCAAGGGGCAAATTTAAAGAGAAAGGATTCCAAGATTACAGAAATCTTGATAACTCAGATAAATAAAACATTAAAGGACTGAATAATCCTTCAGGATCCTTGCTACAGTTTTCGGTGAAACATTAGAAGGCAACTTTAACCAAAGGACAACCTCCGCAGAAAGGATTCCAACATTACTGAAATCAAGTAACAACTTCCTAACAGCTAAGATTTTAAGGACTCGCATAAATACAGCATTAATGGAGTGAATCCCATAAAACACAACATACAGATAAACATTGAACTGTAAATGAAAATCTGTTTATTTTAGACAGAATATTTAATATAATATATCTCCAAAATTAAAAATTACAAAGAAAGGTATGCACTTGTACAGTTCAATACGTAAAGCAGTAATTAAAAGGTCAATCCCATTT